TTTATGTTATTTCTACTTAATGTAGCTAATACTTTTTATGATCCTAATTCTTATTTTCCAATGTTTCATGTCTGGCACGTTGTTGCATTCTCTGCATTTGACAGAGTTTGCAGTTTAGCTGAAACTTTAAATATGAACATGAGTAGCAACATAAATATATTATCATAAACAACATTTCCGCAGTACAACGTGGTGCCTTCAAAATTAAAGTCATGTCGTCATCTGGCCAGGATGACTGTTGCTCAGCTGGATGTCAACGCTCCTATTGAGGTGTGTGTGTGTGTGTGTATGGTGTGTGCGTGTGTTATATAAGGTGCGTGTGTGTTATAAGAGGTGTTTTAATTATTGTGGGACATGTTGATGGTGTTATGGTCATAATTATACTTTTCCTTGGTTTATCTACTTGTAATTTCGTATTGACAGAAAATAATGATCTTGCTTGAATATTCAGTGACTATGTTCTCTCTCTCTCTCTCTCTCTCTCTCTCTATCTCTCTCTCTCTCTCTCTCTCTCTCTCTTTCCAAAAGTTAAATTAATCGACGTCAAAGCACTTAATAAACATCATGTCAGCATAATCATATTATGCCTGCCTGTCGTTTGTATCTTACAAACCATTGTAACGTTATCACCACACCATATCAACTCATCATCACCAGCATCACCAGCACTTCCTGATTGACCTGGTCCACGCAACGGTACGAGACATCGTGGTGGAGATGAAGAACAATCTACACGAATTAACATTGTTAGTACCTGAGATGTCGTCCTTATTTTTCATTCACTGTTGCCATTATTTTCATGTCTTTGCTGTTGCTGATGTTATTGATGTGTTATACTTTTTTTATTCTATGCGTTTGTCCGTCATGTCAGTGTTTCATTTTTATCACTCTTATAACCCTTACACTGGGTTTCTCCAATGCAGACAATACTGCCACAAGATCTGTCAGGCAATCAGCTTGCTCCTGCCCCAGACAACAGTCCTTCAAGTCGTCGACATCACATCTGCCATCTGCTGCAGAAACTTTAAGCAGAAAGTGACCAACTGGATGAAGGAAAATATCAATGAGAGTATGTCTAAAATGTTTGCTTATCTCAACTAATGTGTTTTGTCTATAATTAAACAATGTACCTTCGCTATATTTCTTCACATTCAGTCTGATCTTTTATTAAATTCATCATTAATAATGAAAGTCACTCATTATTATCGACCAAGTGAATTTGTAGCAAACATTCGCTCCACTGTAATTTGCCATTCAACAATATTCGTACTAATTTTTTGCATTGTTTATTTATTACATCTTTACAAAACATGAAAAACAAATTTTTGTCACCATCACCAGTGTTGTATTATGGCGTGTTATGGTTGAGCTCGTTGTAATGGAATGGAATGCTAATCAGGAATTAATTAATGATTGATATTTGTTTGTCTAACGTGAAATGTGTATTTGATTGTTGAGCACAGAGCTGTTTGAAAGAGAGATCACCTGTGAGATGAACAAACAAATACACAACCATCCGACCTTCCACGGCTTCAAACTTTTCATGCCTCCACCAACGCCATCCTGCCTGCCATCATCGATGTGCCTTCCGACATCATCCACTACACCAACTAAGGTTGCAGCATCAAAAACCGTGCCAATCACATCAACAGTAACATCAATAATTGCGGCACCATCATCATCATCAAGCTCATGTCTTCCAACAACTCATTCCTCCCATCACTCAATTTCAACGACAACAACGGAAGTTATAAAAGCAACAACAACAACACTTACAGCAACATCACCTTCAAACTGTTCTTTCAACAACTCGAGTCTTGTCGATCGTTCGTACGACGGCTGCAGGGATGTTGACATGTCCCTAACGAGCATCCCACTGGAACATCTTGATGAATGGCCTCTCTTGATTCGATCGCAACAACTTTCCAGCACGATAACTCCACCTCATCCGTCCACGCAAAATGTCAATAAAGCACAAACAAAACGAAAATCTAAAAAGTCAAAGTTGAGACAACAACAACGTCAAGAAAGCGGACAAGTTCAACATCAGCAGCAACAAACTACTACATCATCTTCAACAACTTCATTGCCTGATGATTTTAAAACGTTGACATCAACAGCAGATGAATCATCACCAATATCAACAACTACATCCACAACTGCATCCACAACGTCTTTATCAATGTCAAAAACACCAGCAAATTTATTAACCGCAATATCATCCTCAACAAATATTCCACCAAAAACATCACCACTTAAAATGAAGACATCATCATCACCATTGATACCTCAAGCTCTGATGGACTCAGCCACTACAGCATTAACCTCATTTAAATCAGAATCAACAATAATGCAAACATCAACATCACCACCAACAACAACAACATCACTACCAACAACAACATCACCACCACCAACAACAACAACGCAAACACCGTCATCCAATCTTCCCTCGCCCACTGACCTCCTCTTCAAACTGCAGAATATTCTAGTCCGATTGAATGCAGGCATCATGTTCAATGGTTATTATGACACAGCTCTCACTCCACCACCACCACCTTCGTTAGCCACATTCCCGCCGCCTTTGTCTGCATCATCACCAAAAACACCTTCAAAGTTCAAATTAAGATCCAGAAAAGTCGTCTTCAAAAAGGTTGAGCTAGATTCAATTGATGAAAACATCAACTACTATGACATCAACGGCATCAACAACAGTAATACCAGCTTTGGAAGCAACAGCAACATTAGCATTGAAAAAAACATTTCCAATAACAGCTTCAATGAAAACTACGACATCATAAACCGCAGGAAGAACGTCACAAATGGAAACTACAACATCATTCACTGCAGAAACATCACAAATTCAAAGTTAACAACAAGCAGCAGTAGAAACAACAGCACCAGCTCATATAATCCAAAGAAAATCCCAATCAAACTGACAACGCTCGATAACTCAGCTACATTTTCAAGTGTTCCTTTGACAAGCCCTTCAGGACAAATTGATGAAAAAATGTTTCAGGACGTTGAACTCCTCATATGTGACATCATCTCATTGTTTCAATCTTCTTCCAAGGTTCGTTTCCTCTTGTCTCTAGTTTGTTTAAAACTGCAGTGAATTTGTAAGTGTCAAAAACGTTAATCGCTTCTTGGTAAAATTTTAAATTGCATGTTAGTTATAACCTCAGAAAATATTAACTATTCAATATCAGATTCTGCTGGAGCAAGTAAGAAAGAATATGTTCCTGGTATCAATGCAAGTGGCTGCTATGCTAGGTCGGAGAAGTTTTTGTTTTGTTTGAGATGCTGCCTTCTATGTATATGTCGTTTTGTTTTGGTTGTCACTTTTTTTATATGTATCAATGATGTATCTGTTTGTTTTGGATGCCATTTCTATGTATATGTCAGTGATGTTTTTATTTATCTTCCGACATCACTTATATGCACATATATATGTCGGTGTCTTTGAAGATGATATCTTGAAAAATTATTCCGTCCATTATTTGCTCTTAATTGTTTCATTATTATTTTGCTTATATTATTATTGTTACAGCTGTATATTACAATAAATTTTATGCAGTTCACAATCAGCCCATGTTGTGGACAGAAGGCATGGACCGTTTATTTAAGAAGTTGTGGGATGTAGGAAGCAGTGAGATGGACGATAAAATAACATTTGATCAGTGGCTTGCAGGAACCAAATTTTCGAGCAGCTCCAGGACGGTCTCGTGTTGCTGACCAGGATTTCCAATAGATTTCTGCTGTACAAGTTGAGCTGAAAATAATTTTCAGGATTGATAGCTGTCGTTCATCCAATAGTTGACCAAAAAGCAGAGTACCTCATGCATAAACCTCATTAAAGATTTATTTATTTTAAATTAATTATTCTATTTAAATTCTTTAATGTTTGAGAAAATCATAAAAACATTTGGTTCTGCCATTAAAAATATTGAAATCTTAATGGACTCATTGTGTAATTGCATTAATTTTGTAATATTTTATAACATTTTTGTGATAATGTCGATTTTACTTATTTTCCTTTTGTCGATGTTCTAAGACTTGGTTCAATTAAATTTTTTCACAACTTATAAAGCTTTTCCTTGACCTTATATTTTCCTTGACCTTATAAACGATTTATTAAAAGTTCAATATTGAACTATATCAAGACAAAAGCTGATGAATGGAATAAAATAGTCTGACGGATGGAAGCTATAAACGAGGGTTGATCAAGTATTGATAAATGGATTATTTTTTTCCAAACTTGAAATGCTTTTCTATATACAGATATATATATATATATATATATATATATATATATATATATATATATATATATATATATATATATATATATATATATATAGATACAACTGAATATATATATATATATTTATATGGTCTTCCAAAACCAACATACTTTCAATGTGGCACCCAGTAAAAGTTTGCCCACCGTTAACATATTTCAATTAATAATTTTGAAATTTCTTTTCCTTCAAGTTTTTTGAGAAATTAGCACGCAAGTCAACCTTAAAAAATTTTTGTTTCTTTTCTATTTTTGCTTTTTATGTACGAACACGTCATGCATGATGAGCGATCATTTATGTTGTGTTATGTGTGTACTTATGTATATATATATATATATGTTATAACCGTCACAAATGTATTCGCTACAGGCGCTAGTGTCGCCACGACCGCATACATTTAGAGGAGCTAGTACCTTCTGACAGCTAGATTATCTAGGACGTTCGAGAAGAGTGGTATATAAAGACCTGCAGAACATCGAATGGTAGGTTGTGTCGATTGGCTATCGATTGGTAAATAAAACGACGGTTTAAAAGTTATATTCTGTCGCTATATTCCAACGAACTCGTCGTCGACCGGCCAGTTTTAAAAATATAAATTCTATATGTGTGTATATAATATAGCATATATATAATCATATAGAACATTTGTAAATAAAGTCGTTTTATAGCTTATATTTATTTTAAACATTTCAGAAAAAATTTATTCAAATAAATTACAAATTCATAAATTAAATGTTCTGGATAAAAAATGATGTATGGACCTTAATTAAAATAGTTTTTTCACCGTTCACAAAGAACAAGATCCACGAACTCAAAAGAATATTCTCGTGTACCTGCCTGCACAACATCGCAGTCAGTCGCACAAACTGATAATAGCCATCATAAAAATATGAAAAAGCATTTTCTTTAATAAAAATAAAGTTATCAAACAACTATAAATTTAATATATATATATATATTAAGACTGTATATATATATATACGGATTAAGACTGTCAGAAATGCAATTATTGATGAAAATCACAGCATGTTCGGCGTTAGTTAACTTACTGTTTTTCGATTTTTTTACCGGTTGATCGTAAATTATTCTCAAGTTTCTTGAGTTCAAAACCAAAATTTTTGTTTATTTTATGCGTGATAGAACAAAAAAGGCTTTTTTTGGTATTCCTATACCATCTTCGGTGTTTGAATTGATACGCTGTGTAAAAATTTTGGTTTTGATTTCAAGAAACTTGACAACGATTTACGATCTACTGTTAGAAAAATCGAAAAAATAAACAGGAAGCTAATTAACGCGGAACACGATGTGATTTTCATCAATGTGTGTATATATATATATATATTGATTTATAGATTGATTGATTGATATATATATATATATGTATGTGTGAACAACTTATTACAAACATAATCAGAAACAAACAATCGCAATTCATTTTATATCCACTGAACTAGAAGAAAGTACGATATATCCTGTTTTTATTTCGGCTCCGTCGTTGTTTGCACTAGCGAGGCTGTTGTTAATTGAAACGATGCTGTTTGAGTCCGAATTTAAATGTTTTTTAATGTGAGCTTTACATTTATCTTTCCGATAGAAAGCTTTACAACATATTGCGCAAGCAAATCTACGTAGACCGGTGTGTATGGGTCGGTGTCTAAGCAAAGAACTCTTCGTAGTAAAGTGTTTGCCACACTGATGGCATATAAAAGTGTTATGTTCATTCAACGTATGTCTGAAATAGTCTATAAGGCTAGGACAGGTAGCCTGACAAGAGGAGCACAAGTATGGACGCTGTATAGACGGAGCCGAAATAACTTCATCACACGTCCCTACGTATTCAGCTAGTTCAGCCGGTGATAAAATATCTTCATTCAGTCTACGACGACAAAATTTCTTTCCGGAACTGTTGCTGTTGTTAACGTTGTTGCTAGAAGTTGTTGTTGCTGAAGCCATGCTGTTTAAATTATCTGCAAAAGCGTCAACTACAAAATCACTTTCATTTTTTTGTGGAGGTTTTGATGCAATAAGTCGAGCGTTAGAGGTTGCCGAAAGAAGGGGGGTAGCAGATGAAGAAAGTTGTTGCGTTTGAAGAGATGATCCTACAAGGGGAAATTGAGTTGTGTTTCCTGACACGTTAAGAACATTTTTGGCTAGTTGAGTTAATTGCAATGAGAAGCAATTGTTCAAACTGTTACCAGCCTCATCAGAAATCGTAAATAGAGTAGTGGGCTGTAAAAGTCTGGGCATGTTAGCTTGTTGCTGTTGGATCTGTTGGTTAATGATTTGTTGTTGCTGGTGCTGCTGTTGCAGCTGTTGATTGATAATTTGTTGTTGTTGATGCGGCTGCTGCAGTGCAGAATTATTTGGAAGAATGGCCAAAATAGGATTAGTAAGAATGTTATTTGAAGGTGCAGGCAATATTTGACGGGTTGTAGAAAATGTGTTATTAGAATTTGGTTGCATTCTGAAAGTAATGTTATTATGCTGCTTATTGTTTTCTACGTTGTATTGGGAACTGTCCAGCACGCAAACGCCTTTTGAATGGGAAACTGAGGTTGTCGCTACCTCGTCATTATCGGCTTCTTCTTTAATATGGATAACACCAGAAAGGACAGCACTTTTCAAAATGCATTCACCGTCCTCATCATCAATTATTACTTCGTCTTTATTCACATTATCATCTACTTCCTCGTCATCTTCACAATCTTCATCATTTTTGTCTGGAGCTATAACTACGTAACTATTTCGGGTAACGCTTCGAAGATGAGCAAAATTTCCGTCATTTTTTGCCCCTTGAACGCACCGATTTTTGCCACTGGGGATAGTGGCTGAGGTTAAAAGAGAAGGAATTTGGTCAACTGGTTCGGTAAGCATGGCCCGCAAAGTAGAGCACACTTTCAGGTGATCTTTATTAGTTTTACTTTCATGGCTATTACTTTGTTTCCTTGTTGGTTTCTTTCTTTTTGGTGGATAGACATCAGAATCACTTATGTTGTCTTCGTCATCATCGAACTCTTCATTATCAGTATCAAACTCATCTTGTTCATCGAAAACAATAAGGGCATTTTCAATATTATCATTGCTAGCGTCATAATTTTCGTTAATATCATTAACGCTTTGACGTTTAGAGTCTACATGATCATGGGTGGAGTTTTCATTGCTTTTTATTTGAACACTATTATTATCTGCAAAATCGACAGAGCTGGCAGGTAAAATAAGCATTTCGTCATCATCTTCTAGATCATCTTCATCAGTAGCACACATGTAGGCAGTTGTATCACTACTTGCTTCGATGTTTGCCCCATTATCAGTATTAATTTCTATACCGTGAATTTGGTCGGATGCTGTGGTCAAATTAACATCATTATCTTCCATTGTTACGTCATGGATCTCATTTTTCTCTTCGTTATTATCAGTGCTATTGTTAAAACTACTTTTTTCATCATCATCGTTAAGGGAGCAAGATTCAATGTTGTTGTTTTTGTTGCAGTCGTCACTAACCTCATCCTCTACGTCATCATCTACACAGGTAGCAACGGTTCCATCATGTTCCATGTTTCTCACGTGACTGAGCTTTAGAGGGGTGGATTGTTTGCGTCCATGACATTTACGCAACGTTCTTACTCGAGATTGTCTCTGCGTTGGCACTGCGACCTCAATGATTTGCTCACTATCGGCAGAAGCAACAATGTTATTTGTTGTCCCTACAAATGATGTTTCTTGAGTGATCTTGTTGCAAATAATTGAAATGTCATTAGTAGAAACTGAAGATTTATAGTCAAAAACTTTTATATCGCTGCTTCTACTGATTTTATCGTTATTCAGATCCACAGAATGGACGTTTTTTTCTATGTTACTACTGTCTTGTTGATTCTTTAAATTATCTGATGCAAGCGTTGATGATGTGGAACTCTTCACATTTTCTAACTTGTTCAAAGATTTTCTAAAACTTTCTTTGTTCAAGCCTATTTTGATCTTTTTAGCAAGTTGTTGCTGCGATCTGCTGGAGATGTGTTCTTTACAATTTTGCATTGATTTTTGTTGTAGAGATTTGTTGGAACATTGCTCGTTGAATTGATGTTGCAATGTTTGTTGTGGTTGCTCCGATTGCGGTAGTTGCATTCTTTTAAGTGTGTTGTTTATTTTTACGACAAGTTCATGCTGCTTGTTGTCAATAGACACGCTGATAACACCAAGAACTTCCATAGTATGTTTGTATGTGACGTACTTGTTGCACAACTGCAAAAATCCATGCTGCAAATTTCGAGTAATCAGTTTCCAATCAACCGAAGATATAGAAATTTCTGCAGTGGAAGGCTGATTCAAAATAGATTCATCAAGTGACGGCTCGATGTCTGTCATTGTTGCAAAGGAAATATTCAAAATGTTATTTCAATAACGCTTGCTTTTTTGAATATACTTAAAAAATTGTTTGGTTGATCATAGCTAGTAGCCAAGGTGTTGAATTTAAAACCTGGATAAAATAAATTATTTGATTACAATAAAAAAAATTTACAGAAAGGAAATAAAAAATGCAATCTAAAAAAAGATCTTTGCAATGGCGAAAAATAATTAATCTAAAGGGTAAAATAGTCTAAGCTTTAATTATCTGTTCTCAAAGTAAATTTGCATTTTCTTTTGCAAATTTACAATTTGCAAATTAATTTTTTGTTGATGTTTGTGACTATTAAAGATTGCCCAATTTGGCTGCTGTTGCACGTATTTACTTAGGTGCACGACCAGCAAGTTTCCCATCTTAGAGCTTGATCACTGTAGCTGCAGAAGTGATTAGTGACTATTGCAATACATTTCTTCCAGATAACGCTTCAAGGCATGTTTTCTTAAAATATAATATTGCGCTCATAAAAATATAAATTCTGTAGACAATAAAAACCTGTAAATTTTTTATTTGATAATGGTTTTGATGTTTTTTAAATTACCATTAAATATATTAATAATTGTTAACGAGAACGTTTATGAATAAATCACAAAGTTACTGTAATATATGCATTAGTTAAATTGTATAATCATAAACTTCATTGTTTATCGACCATGTCCTGTTTTTATATTTTGTCATTTTCATTATTAAAAAATAAAAAAGAAGTATTCAATCAAATTGTATTACAATAAGGTTAATTTATTAAGTTATTGTAATCAAACAATATTTGTTCTTGTCTTGTTTGGAACCAGTGAAGGTAAGCTAAAAATCATGAAAAATTTATTTGAAAATCTGGTTAAATATGGCTCAGGCAAGGTCAAATCCGTTACAGCCCTATTATTGATAGCCGATTATTGATAGCCGTTAAAACATTTTGAACAAGAGACTGAATATAATCTCAATAAAGAATTGTTGGATAAAAACAATTTGCCTACTGTTTTCTTTAATAAAAAAATATTAATGAAAAATAGCATACAAAGAAATCAAAGAGTCAATTAAACAAAGAATGAAATAATCTCTTAAAAATTATGATATAACGTTTTAACAGCCAACCAGTCAACAACATCCATCTAAAAATTTTTTAAATAGTTTTGAAAAGTATTTAGGAAAATTGTTAGAGTGAGATTTGAACATTAAAGTACATAGCCTAAAGCAATTCCATATTTAAGAAGTAGCCAAGGTAATAGTTTTAAAAAGGGAGAAAAGTGAGAGTACAGAGGAGCACACGAAACCATGTAATCGGCAGAATTGAAAGCTTTGGTAAAAGGGTGTAAAGTAGAACCAAAAAGTCCAAAAGAGAATACTGAATGTAGCGTTATATAAATTGCACCATGGCGTTATTGTTGACCCTGATTCCATTTGTCAGACTCGGTGAACATGTTCAATAAGAAACAAAAAACTTTTTTTAATGAAAGAGGTGCGCACGCAACGTACTCATGTGCACACACATATATATACATGCAAAAGCAGGTCATAAATTATCACCCTCATATATATTATACATAAGTAAAGAAAATATTGCTGCTGAACTATTGAAAAAAACGCGGTAAATTGATATTTGCTAAACATTGAAATTTTGTTGTACACAGCGTTATATAAGTTGTATATCGCTGATATATCGATAGTCGAAATCTCAAAATTTCTCACAAAACAATCGACAAAATTCTGGCTCGTTGAACAAAAATGTACCGAAACAAATCAACGTGTAACGACACTTCGATGTATATTAGAACGAAGTTGCATTCTCAAATTGCTCAACTTTCAGAGTGCATGTACATCACTAACTTTTGATATTTTACCAATAAATATAACTTGAAAAACTTTATAAAACTATGTATACATATCTTTGCATTTCTAAATGCTGTAATTTTTCCATTTCTTCTCAAACTTAAACTATGATTACGCACCTAGGATGTTTCGCCATTTTAGCAAGGACCTAGTAAGTTTCTATGCCGGTATTTACTGCAGATGAAGTTAATAAAGTGTTGTGGCATTTAATTAACGTAGACTTATTAAATTTTCATAATACGTTGGTCGGTATTTACCACCGTCGAAATAAGAACGATAAGTTTTTTCATAGAACGTAATTTTTCATTTTTCATAGCATTTGCCGTGAACTTAGCCTCGTGCTATATATATATATATATATATATATATATATACAATAAATTATATATAAAATTATTTATATTATATATGTATATAATTTGTTAGTTTAATTTGCTTTTCACACGTACACAACATATATACTTATATTTAAACCGTATTATATTATATACATATATTAATTTATACATAAGTATATATGTTGTGTGCGTATGAAGAACAAAGTGAAGGTTTAAAATACAAGATTTAAAATTTGCGAAACGCACGAGTACAAAAATCTTATATAAATTTAAATACAATGGTTATACAAAAGTTCCTGACTACATACTCTGCATACATGTTGAATACACATATCACGTACATGTACAAAATAATTATAGCGCGAATATTCATGAAGACACGTAGTCTGACGAAACAGCAAAGCAGGGCTTAGCGTTATAAAAGCATTGAGCTTTAAACCCTGAGGTCTCTAAACCACGCCCATCAAAAACAACAAACTTTTTGTTGCAAACAGTTTTTAATTTAACCTTTTATCCTTAATATTGTGCTTTAACTTTGAAAACCTATGGTTTACATTTATTATATTTTCATAACTTTGTACGCATAATGTATCCAAATTACTATTATTCACAACAATCTTAATATAGCCCACGGTACACAGATTTACAGAAGATAAAAAAAGAAACAGACTTCCTGACAAAAATTTACTTTATTATGTTTAAAATGTATGTTTGTGATTTAATTTTTTTAGATATTTTCGTTTTACAAATCCATAATTTAAGCGGAAAAAATATTTAGTTAGCATTTCATAGGGTAAATAATGCCAGGTGGGAGTTAAAAGTGAACTTTGGTTTTTCATAAACATGTTCGAATGAAACACTTGTTTTTGGTTTTTGTTCACATGTTCACACATTTTTTTTCCAAAATAGTTGACAAAAATAAATTTGAACTTGAATGATTCAAAAGCAACATTTTGTCGAACAATTATTGATTTCATAGAAATAAAATAAACAAAGGTACTGACTTCACCACTTTGATTGGCCAATCCGAAATCAAAAATCAATATAACAGACTGTAAATGTAATATAGATATTAAGAAAACTTTAAAATTAGCTCATGTATTTTATCATTAAGTAAAATAAATAATATCGAGACTATCGACCTACAACCGAATAAAGATGAAGTTCTGAACGAAATGAATAAAAGGGAAATAATGGAGGGACTCAGGGTAGGCGTGGTTTTGGCTTCAGTAGGAGGTGTTATGTTAGTCACGTGGTCTTCAAGCCGGGCTTCTTTGCAATGTTAGCTGTGGTTCAATGCTATCTTCAATTCTGTGTTTGTGTTGTTGTTTGTGTTCGTGTTTGCGCTTGTAATATTTGAGTTCTTGATGTTTGTGGTCGTGATGTTTGTTATGGTGATATTTAGATTGTGTTCGTGAGGGTGTTGGTGATATTTGTGTTTGTGTTGATGGGTTTGTGTGTGCTTGTGTTTGTTGTTTGTGTTTATGTTCGTGTTGATGTTATCGTTATGTTTCTTCTCGTTGATGTTTGTGATTCTTGCAATCTATTCTTTGATCATTCTGTGTTTATTTTGTTTGCGATAGTTCATTTGTTTACAAAGTTATTTCTTTCATCTATCTTTCCTATGAAATATTGTTCTTTGTTAATCAATTTGATACCCATTCGATGATGCAGTAATTTATTTACATCATGATACATTGTGTTGATTGTTAAATATGTATCATATATTGTATACTGTTCTGTCTATGTCGAAAATTATGATCTTCACATTTTATCATGAATTTGTAGATCAGTTGCTCATAAAGAGACTTTGTGATACTTGTAAGCGACCTCATTATATTTCGTTGTTTCTACTATACGGATTATTTGACATCTACCAAATTTCACAATCTATCGTCTGAGAGTTTTGATTGAGGTTTTACTACTTATATTTATGAAATAATTGGATAATTTTGTCATTTAAAAGACTATCTGTTATATACACGGAGTTTTAAACTGGAATTGCCCTTTCGTACCTCTCTCATTATACGCATTATTGGAAGCGAGAGAAGCAATGACGTCACGCATCCATTATAATCAATGGATGGAGTTTTCAGCGGGTGATCGTTTACAGCGTAAAAATAAAATGCTGTGTAATGACATGATTGCTTCTAGGTCAACATTCAGATCAAACGCTTCATTACTCTTCCTACGTGTAAATTCAAATGTTCAGCCCAAATTTGATATTCCGCTTTGGCCATTTTTCGGGCCGAATAGCCAAATGTTGCAACGTTCGTATAAACCATAATTTTTTCGGTTCTAAGACAATAATTATTGATTATTATCAGTAATTTATTTTGCCATCCTGACCATATACTTTTAAGACCTATACTGGCTCTCGAACACACCCGCGCACATTTTCAGTGCGCTTTAGAGTCTAGTCTCATTCATTATTTCCATGAACAATTATTCATCAAACTCATCAAATTTTATAATTTTTATAGTTCATTAATAAATATTTTTTTATTTTTTAAAAATTTTATTCATTTTATTATATTTTAACAATTTATTTCATGCATTTGTATAATATTTATGCGTGTTTAGTCCCGAACGGATTTGAGATGGTCGGGCTTGACAGACCCCCCTGATCATAACTGTTAAAACATATAAATTTAAAAAAGAGATTGAATATAACCCCGATAAAGAAACGTTAGATAAACACGCTTCGCCTAATGTTTTTTTTATAACTCTTTCTAAAAATCGTTTTTTCAAAACTATGTGTTTTTTGATATACGGCCTTCGTGTGGATCAAACAGTTGATTAACTGTTCGCCTATTGTTCGGCCAAATTCACTATTCGGTACATTTCTAATAGTACATTTCTTTTAAAATCTGTTAATGTTGTTTAAGGAAGTCTGACGCTTTTGAACATCAAAAAGTAAATTGCGAAAAATCTTTGAATTAATTCCAATTTAAAAAAAATATTTTAATTGTGAAACTACCGGTTCGGTTGCAAATGCAAGAGATATTTTTCTAAGTGGTTTATAAAATTATAAAAATTGTTTTTGCAGTTGTTAAAAGGGGTTTTCAAAGTAGTTGAAATGGTCGGCACATTTTTTGTAGGAATTAAACAAAAGTACTCATTGACCGGGATGCGATTGCTTCGTAATAAAATCACTCAACATCAATAATAATATACTATTTGAAATTTTCTGCGTAAATTATAGAAAAAATGTAACGTCAACGCTGCCCTTGTCTCCAGTGAATTGAATGACACAATAAAGGACAATGGCAACCTAGAAGTCCAAAATACACATTTGCCATCAGCTCTGCTGTTCTGACAGATCGTATTTTTTATAATTTATAAATCAGCATATTTTATATTTTATTGATGACTTTCTGTATAACTCCAACCGTACTTTCCACTGTTTTGACGCTGTCGTTGCTATTTTCAAACAAATTCTGAGAGCACCCATTTGAAACTGCATAAATTAAAAACAGTTTGAAGCATGGATAGGTAGAGCAACGCAACCTATATCGTTTAATACATATCTCAGATACAAGAAATGGTGTGATAAGTTTAATGCTTCTGTTGGATATTCCGCAGCATATTCGCCCAGCGTCAATCGGGTGTAATTATGTCCTGTTCAGCAGTCCTTACATCCAAGCTTGTTGTGGCCGTTTCTCCATTCATATTTTTCCGAGAAGTTTTTCATTACGTTAAATGGTAGAGTGTAGTTTCTGGATGCCGCACCATTTTATGATTTATGAGCTCTAATGAAATCATTAACGCAAGCAAAACCAACAAGTCCAGGCTATTTTAATAAGGTTTTTCAAACAATTTGTCAGAAATCAAAAATTAGCAAACATTTGAAAAATTTTTACAATGTGAAAAATATAAATTAAAATCATAATATTTGTAACATTTTCTGTCAACATCAACGAACATCGGAATGTTTGTTTTTAAAGAGAGTTTTCCATGAATGCACTCACTAAAGAATGCAGGTTTAAAAACACTTACATTAACAACAATTACAAAAATTGAATTACGCAAAGCGAATCATGAAAAACCCAAAAATAGATGAGCAATTCATCAATCCGATGCAAAAACAAATTTGTTTTAAAATTCATCTGCCTCCAAACAAACATACAAACCTTATTGAAACAAATATTAAAAATATACGCAAACAAATGAGCTTTGTAATCGCATATATCATGCATAACAAACAAAAAAATCATTAAACAATTCTGCAGAACGTGTATATTAATATATTTAACCTAGACATGTACATGAAACAGTTACAATATTTCAAACACACACACCACACACACCACACAGACACAAACCACACACACACACGGTTTTATATTATATCTAACATTCATCAGCAACACTTCTGTTCTGACAGATCGTAGCTTTTATATTGCTAAAATCAGCATGTTTGATGTTTTTAGCAATGACCTACTGGTATGCCTCACTGGTCATATCAATTTGGATTGTCAGACTACTATTATATTTTTGAATATTCTTTATTAATTTTCAAAAGTATCAACACACAACCAGCGCATGGGAATACACATGAATCCGCTGACCACGCATAGTGCACATAGTGAGCGGGATCTTTCTGCTTACGATGTTGGTCGCTGGACCTGGAGCCCAACAACCAAGCACTATAAATGTTGGAATAATTTTTTGGGTTCTGTTATTAATTATGCAGCTCTGACAAACGCATAACTGCTTACATTTACATATCATTCTATACTTATATTAACTTTTGTGCCACAAGCAGAGTGTCCGAAGTACTACTGTTTGACCGAAGCCCATTAGCAAAAACCCCAAATTAAAAAAAAAATTCAGAATGAAAAAACAGTAAGCGATTCGTATTTATTCAGCAAATTTTATTAAAATAATTCAATCTCTGTTCAAATTCAGATGTTTTAACAGTTATAATCATGTTAACTCTTATAAGGATCAATATGCAACTTTTCTGTCACTACATACGGTCCACTTAGTTATTAGAAATCCATCAGAATATTGGCTTATTACATGACAACTCGAAAGAAATAAATAGCGATCATTTTTTGAAAGAAAAAAAATTTAAATTTTGGCAGTTCAAATAAAATTAAAAATTTTGATTTGTTTTTTTAACAGCTACAGCTAGGATAACAAATTTACCGAGGACATACATTTCTAGAAATGAAATTAATTACGTTTAATAATTAAAAGTTTATGATTTTTTAATTTAAATATTGTATTATTAAAAAAGTTTAAGTATGATAACTGAAACATATTTAAGTCAGTCTCTTTTTTAACACGAGTACAATGTTTTGATCAAAATTCAAATAAGAAAATTTTTAACATCGCTTTTTTGTAAGCATAATAGATTCGGCAATACGCTCATTTCATTTTAAAAATTGCTTTTTGACTTTCTGAATTTTTGATCTGAAGGGACATAAACATTAAAGAACACTTTTGAGGTAAAGAAGATAAAGAATATTAAACCACACAATCGACTATATGATAATTTATAAGTTCTTATCTTATGATGGAGGATTGTTTTTCATACGAATAATTAAAACATGAAATATAGTCTATTGAATAGCGATTTTTTTCTATATTCATATCTATTTTGGCTCTGCTAAAATTAATCTCTCTAAAATTGCTGTGAATTTTTAAAACTTTCAACTTTCAACTAAAACCAGTAAATAATTTTTTATAGTGAACGCATTAGAATTTTTTTACATTAGCTGCAATGACTCAACAGACTCGACAATATAGATACATGTAAATTTCTTCTAACAAACTGTTTCCATAACATAACCTTTGATCAAGTGAATCATCTTTCTACACACACTCAATTGAAGTTTACCCCGTTTCAATTTAAAATGAAAATTTTATTGATATATCTGTATACAAAGTGGAAATATTAAACAGTTAATATAAATATTTTACTAGCGTTTTGTGCAAAATTTTTAATCATTTAATTCGAATATAATATATAAGTAAACATTAAATTGAAAGGTATGTCCGATGATATTGTAGCTGAATCCAGCACATCATCCAAAATTCGCCAACAAGTAATTGTTCGTAATTTTCAAAATGTTGAGAAACACAGCAAATGTTTCATGATTGTTGTCGGAGTTTGCCATCTGGTGTGCGGAGTTTCATGTTTAGTTGTTAAGAGTGAGCTACAGAGCAGATTGAAAAACAGTTTTCATAGCTACGAAGTTATTTTCATCATCATTGCCTCAGTAAGTAGCATTTATTGAAACAATTTTTGATAATAAATAACAAATAAATTTTAAAAACGGTTTTAAATAAGTAATTTGATACAAAAATATCTTTGCATCTGATAAACTTAAATAAATATTATCTTTAAACGACTTTTCAGTTTTATGTTTCTGGAATTTGCAGTCTCCAATCAGCTTTCAAAACTAATTTTTTCTGGGTATATTTTGCATAATATTTTGTTTTTTTTTTATGATATTAAAATTTAGAATGAGTTATAAATTGAAATAATTTAAAGTTGTATAATAAAATCATTCAGAGGAGCAGTCAAGGACAGCTTTGAGACTGCTTTTTGATTATGTAAAAGTTATTATTTATTTAAGATAAATAAAATTTTCAGAAAAATAATTTTTGGTAAATTTTTATACTAAAGTTCAATAATTGTTACGTGAGAAATTGTTAAAAAAAAGTGTGGGATGAAGAACTTTTTAAAAAGTCCAAACCTCTTCACACCAAATTTTTGACTATGCCACTGAATGATTTTAAAAACGTGAAATTATTCAAAGATAGGCTATATGATGTTTAAAACTCAAATAAATTTGCTGAAGGTAATATGCAGTTTGACTTGCAACCTAAACTCTTTGATCGGATCGTTTATAGTGAACACATGCATTGCCTTGGATATTGAAAAAGTAATTTCTATAGCTCAATCGGATTCTTACAAATATGTTGGTTGTGGATATTATTTTATAATTATTTTAATTTTTTCATCACGCGGCATTTCTACTATACAATTTTTTGATAATTTTGTAATAGAAGATTTGAAAATTGTTAATTATAATCTCATCTGTTTAAAAATTAACGACGGATATAATTTTGTGTACATGATTTATAAATAAACTAATATAATAAAATGTTGGTCAGCACAAAATTACGCTAGAATGTATTTCTATCTAATGCTAATGCGTCATTTATACAGCGTCCAGATGTAGCATTTAATAAATCATATAGCTCCTGAAATGCTTGTTACTACTACTCACTACAAAACAAACAGGACCCATCGAAATCAACTTTGTGGCTCTGTATGTTCTTATTCATCTTTTTAGAAATTATGGCCTCAATAGTTGGACTGATCACTTGCCTACGATGTATTTGCTGTGGAAGCATCAACACCATCAATGTTAATCATTGGTTTCTTGCAACTTTTTATCAAAAGTTTAATCTATTTAATTTATACGTTATTATAGATACGTTCTTATTATCAAAAATATCTATCTCATCAAAGGTTTAAAAATTATTATCTTTAGTTAAATTTGTTTCTCGGCGGTTTTTAACGCTGGTAAAACTTATTCTAGTAGGTTATTGTCCGTGAAGATAATTTAAATTACTATTTTAGATCATCATCGAAAGAGACCAACACCTTTTTTATTCACTTATCTTCTTAATCAATGTGATTCCTTATTCATGCATCAGAAATCTATTATTTTTCAGGTGAGTCAACCTGATTTTGAAGAAACAAGCGAAATTAATTAATGACGATGTTTTTGATGCATTGACTGAAATTCTACGTTTATAATTCATTGAATTTTTACTACTAAAAAATAAAGAAACGTTTTTAAACTTCTTTGCAAATTGTTATCACCATTAAACAATGATTTGACAATCAATGGCTATTGTTGCTAAGTAGGCTTGTTTCAACGTAAAAAATTTAAATTATTCCAGACGTTATATTTCATAGTTTCAGTCCAAAAGTTACTTTTTGTTTAATTGAACCACGGCGCGATAACACGCAATAATAATTTTTGTTAACCAGAAAATATCAATTTAATCGCTCAAAGAAATTGAAACATCCCATTTCAGAAATCTTGTGTCGGAAAGTTGAATTGTCTTGCAAAACCGTTAACTTGCTTCAATTATTTGCAACTATTCGCTATTTTATTAATACCCAAGGGCAGATCTAGACACTTTGACTGAGGGGAGACCGACATTTTGAAAATGTTTAAATTTTAAAATTTGAAGAAATTAACCAAATTTGTGCAAGTGTGGTCAAAATTAGGCTGGTGATCTTTTTTCTACGTAAATTTTTGATCAATTTTTTACTTAAAACGATGTTTTTTTATGTATCCTATGTAAAAACTGAGTTTAACTGATTTTTTAAAAAATGGACTGGGCCGCTGGGACACCGGGAAATTTCCTGTGGGCGGCTGCTGCCAACTAACAAAAAATTAATTACATATTTAGTTATAGCAAAAATTAACGTTAATTATGTGACAGCATTAATTAATAGTTTTTATCAAATGTAGCCAAACTGAAACAGCAAAATCATTATATAAGAAGTCTAAATATATTTACATAATATGCATCCAAGGTCAGTGTGTAAGTGTGTGTGTTTGTGTAAGACTAGAGTATTTCAGAATCTAGATTTATGCATAAAGATTAACCTATAACATATTAATTTTTAAGCAAAATTTTCATTAAATTTTTTGAGCAGTGGTCTAGATAAAAAAATCTCGACGTTGAAAAGCAAACTGTTTTGAAGGAAAAAAAAAATTAATGCCAACAAACCGCTTGAAAACGTGAAAGATAAATTTCGTGCTATTATTCACAAAGTAGGTAGTTATGGATTAAGTAATTAGTAGTTTAAAATAGAGACTCTTTGAGCATAGTAGTATTTACGCTGATTAATCTTTTTTAGAATCAAGAAATTTTGCAAAAATTTTTGAAAAGAATACCTAGTAACGCACTGCAATACGTGAATGAGTTGATATAAAAAATTGATGATGCGGTAAAAAAAGAAAAAAGCTTTAAATTGAATTATTGGATTTTACAAGGAAACAAACTCTCGAAGATATGGGTATAATTTGATCCTTGAAATGGAAGGAGAAGACATTTAACAATCTGAATCCGCAGAATTACTTGAAAATATGCTCACCATCCCATCAGTTGAAAACTGCAACAATGACAAATACAAATGCAAATCTCTCAGTTTGTTGTCATAATGTTTCCAAACATTTTATTTTGTATTTGGCTCAAAAATTCATTTTGACATTATTCTCACAACACTTGCGTAACAGCATTTGTGTGAGACTAGAGTATTTGAGAATATAGATTTATGCATGAAGATTAAAAATGATTAATAAAACTTTGTGTGCGTGTGGCGTGTGTGTGTGTTTGTGTGTGTGTTATTTTACAATTTTGTATAATTTCTATCGAATTGTTGGCATTTAAAAGTTTGTCTTTTCAATTTTCCTTACTAGAATTTACTAGAAATTGTTTAATTTATTGAAAATATAACTTATCCGAATTCACCCTTGCAGATAGGCCTTTGATTTTTCACAATTCATCTTAAGTGCAGCTTTAGTTTACATTACTTCTTAGACAAAGAAAAGGTAGTTAATTAATTGGTGTCATATTTTCCCCTTTTTGTGTGTGTCGCTTTATTTTTTCTCATTGTTATTGGAGTTTGTATTAAAGCGTCATGTTGGTAATGATGTAATCATTTTTTGTTGGATGTTTATCGATTTCTATTAAAACAGCTTCTGCAGTTGTTAGGTGTAATGTGATGTCTTTTGATAAGTTATTTTTGTGTTGTTAAGAATTTGGCGGATTAAGTCCGATTAATTATTGGAGTTGCATGTATTGATTGTAAGTGAGATGTGATGGTTCCGTAACACCTATACGAATGTTGTTGACGCGCACAGTCGTCAATAGGGCATTTGAATTCGTATGATTACGCCCGTAAAATAATGCAATGTTCGATCCTTTGGAGGATTAGACAGCGGTTGATCGGAAGCCAACTTTTGCTTCACTCCATAAATAGGCATGAAATGATAAGTTTGGGACAGAATGAAATCGATTTTCAAATGTGTAGTTTTAAAAAATCCTACTACAATTTTGGGTGTTCTAAAAGTTACGAATCTTTTATATATTTGAACCATTTTGAAATGTTTAATAATAGAAACCGTATTTTCAAAAATTAATGTTAAAATAGGTATAAATATAAACAAATAAAATCACTTATCAAAATTTAATAGTAGGAAAAGTTGTTGTTTTTAATGCAACATTTTAAATATTTACATTATTAAATATTATTAATTATCAACATTTAAAGATTAAATTAATAATAATTAATAATATAAATATTTAATCCCCTAAAAAAACATTCTAACTAACATTGTGTAAAATAAACGCTAATCACAAAATCCAATTTATGAAATATTTGCAAATAAATATACTCAAAGAAACTTCCTTTCAATAATATAATTACATTTCAACTTAATTATAATATAACTTAAACACACAAGAATTTTCAACAGTTATTTTATTAAATTTAGTGAATTGAAGAATTTTCAAGTTTCAACGTGTTCGATGTTGTAAGTGAATTTGCTGTATTTTCAACTTTTGCCACATCTAATGATATTTCCTCTCTTATCTTATCAACCTTTGCTGGAACTTCCCCCGGTGAGAGTGTCATCTTTCCTGCCATCTTCCCTGCCATCTCTTCAACCACTTCCTCATCTTTCATCTCACTACCTTCTCCTTCCTCATGTTTTTCATCACCTTCACCTTCTTCATTTTCTTCTACATTTTTACATTTTTTCATCAGAAAAAATGAAACTGCAACAGAAAACGACACAATCCACACGGCACCAAACAAGGCCCACATGATGTATTTCAATTTGCCTGATGCAACCAATCCAACCTTGATTTTGGTAGACCTTAAAATCATTTCTTCTTCATCAACTTCAGTTGTTACCATGGTCGTTTCTGAATTCATTTTTATTTCATCGTTTTTGGTTAAACTTATAAACGGTGATACGTTTTCAATTGCAATTTTCACTTTTGTAAGTGTGACTTCAGGCGATGTTCTTGTTTCTTTCTTTTGGTTGTCTCTTTTCTTAAGCAAACTGCTCATGTTTTGGATAACAGCATTTGTTTTGGCGATCGATCTGTTTGTTTCTTTAATGGGGGAACTCGACACTTCAAATGATGGAGAAGAGTTTGTGAAGAATGCGATGGTGATGGTGCTTGCAATAATTATGGTCATAAAAATTGGAATCATATCGACGTTTCAATTTTCACATTTTTATTGTATTTAAGAAAAAATAATAAATTGTAGAATTTATACCTACCAAAACTTGTGTTTACACATTTTTATTATCTGTTTTACTAAAAATTATATAAATAATTAATTAATGATAGATAAACGATTCTATTGGCTTGTTCTATTATTTATTCGATTATGTTTGTTGTTTTCAAATTATTTTATTACTTTATTTTTCAAATTTTCTAAAGTTATTTTGCTGTAAAAACCTGAGCACGAATAAAAACATACATATAATATATGAGCTTGAAACTATTCCATTGCATAAATCTAAATTCTTGTTATTGTTTGGATTAAAAAACAAAGATTTTAAAAAAATTATTATATAAAAAACGAAGAACATTTAAAAAAGTATCTGTAAACAAATGAACTTTTTTTTTTACGTCAGAGGTCATTTATTTTAATTATTTTATGCAATCTATTTGTCTTGAAGCTGAAGATGGTTCCGAGAAATATTTTAAGTATAGATAAAAATATTGGTTGGATCATTTCAGCTATTTTATTTTGTTAAAAATTTTGTTCTAGACCATTTCAAATATTTCACGCACGCACTTAAAACACTCATGGTCTCAGAGGCATCAAATTATTCGAATCACTTATCATTTCACACATCAAATATGCAGCTTCCTCCTGGTCTGGTTTCGCTACACAACAACAATTTCAGCAACTACAATCTCTCATCAAAAAACTAATTCGCTTCAACTATCTACCTGCATCATATCATCATATCCTACCGTCACTCAGATATTCAACACACTCGATTCAAGACTGTTCAAGAAAGAAACAAAATAACAACAACCACGTCATCCACCCTCTACTACCACCAATCAAAACTACTACACACAATCGTCATCAACGCAAGCATAACTATCAAGTCCGCCAATCAATCAACGTACCAGGATAAGACCTTTATCACAAGACACCTTAAATATATTAGCACTTAATAAAACTTTATCATTTACTCAATCTAGTTTTCTTTTTTCTTAACGATAATTTCACTAACTACTAAAATCTAGAACATTAATAAATTACTTTATGTATTTGCTTTTATAAAACTTTATTTGGTTTTCTATACTTTTCATGTCTAAACCTTTTTTCTCCGTTATTTATTTATTTTCGTTACTATTTTATACTATTGCTTTTCATGCTGTACCAATTTCTGCGTCTGTCAAATTTTGATTTAAAGAATAATAATAAAAAAATTTTATTTGGCCCGCAAACGTTGTACATAATTTTTGGTAATTCCAGGAAAGTTTGAGCAAAAAGAATTGCACTTCTGCACTTTACTCTTTCCTTGTCTGTGCTCATTCAAAAATTTATTTGTCAAATTTTTCAAAATTCTTCCAATATTTGATCTACGCCTACATGCATTTGTGAGCTAGTATGTTTTGCTAGAATATTATTATGAATAATTGCAAATGTCAAATGAGGAAAACCGTAGCTGGTCTGGTTTTATATCTGGAGAAATTTAAAAAAAATTGCCTACAGTTGCAATTATACAAAGCCTTTTTCTTAAATTGATGTAAAATATGTACTTCTATCGAAAAGAATTTAAAGATAACTGATATTTTCATAACTGTTATAACTGAGCTTGAATATATGTAGGTGCTATTTAAGTATCGTACTTGAATTTACATTTTAATTAATAATACAATATTTAAGTTAACATCATTTTTACTGATGAGAAAAGAAACCTTTAAAAAAGTTGAGTTCTCGCAACCATCGTCTGCTCACCAAAGTAGTTTGGAGCCACAATGCTGTGAATTTATTTTCATACAGACTATGAAGACTTTCCAAGCCATTTAATTCACTTCAGAATAAAACTTTCCTTAACGTCGTTCATACCTTCTGTTTATCACGTCATTTTTTTCCAATAAAACAACTTTTTGGTTAAAATAATGACCGTTACTGATTTTTAATACAAAAACTTTTCACTGCCCCCCCAGACCCGCCACTGCACACAGGCACACACATTGCATGTGCGTGTGTTTGTATATGTGTGTGTTCAAACATACAAAATTCAATCAAAAGATTCAAACTTATCTGACGTGGTTCAATATTTACGATACACTCTACGATGATAAACTTATCTCATTTTTCATTATTATGTGTTTTTATATTTATACATGTTTAGAATCGGTATACTTTTATAACTGAGATTGGTAGATAAACACCAAATATTTTTTTACATAAAAATTTATCAACCTGTTTTAAAAAAGATGACGACGGCAATTTGTTTGCTGTTGTTAAAACCCTGGACACTGTCATTAATTAGCATTGTATTTGTGTTATAAGGAAAAACATTAACCATGAAAAAGGGATCCGCATTAACATTGGAATCTTTGACCAAATAAATTTGATTCAATCGCTAGAGTTGACGTTTTTGCCACTCCATCTAAACAATAACAAAAGCATTAGCATATTAGATAAACTATGCATGCAATGTTTAATCGGAAATTCGTCATGGGAGTTGGATTCCCCAACCTTAACTCTAACCCGAATTTCTAAGTATCGTTGTAACGAGGTTGGTGTTCTAATCAAAATTCGGTTATAATAAAAATAAAGTTTAAAATGGTTTTGTAGACTAGTGTAAGAACCACTATAAAATAAATGTTCTATTATCCTAACTCTCCTAGCGTGATTTTAAAATTGTTAATTGTCAATTTTATCGCTCTGCTTGTTCCAGACGTTTACCATCCTGCAGCTGAAAAATTTTTGTTTTATTGGATTTTCTGTCTTCTCAAAGAGCTTGTATTTGTGACCTCTTAATCCTTTCCTTTTTTCTAGTTATTAAGAACCTGGTAAACGGTGTTTTTTCTTTTATATGTCAGATTCAGATCCTTTCTGCATCTTCTCCTTTCTAGTGTTGTAAATCCAAATTCTTTCAGTTTATCCCTATATTCAAGTTTTCCAATTCCTTCAATCATTTTTGTTGCTCCACGCTGTACCCGTTCAAAAATGTCTTTGTCCTTTTGTAGATCTGGACTCTAAACCTGGGAAAAGTACTCGAGATGAGGGCGAACTAATGTTTTACACAAGTTTATAATGATCGACTTCTCTCTGCTCACCACCGTTCTTCTATTATACATCCAAGTATTTGATTTGGTTTGACTGCTGCAAAAGTACATTGTCTTAATGTTTTTGGGCTTTTATGAATAGTTATTCTAAAGTCCTTTTCTTCTATAGATCAAAAGTTTTTCATGCCCAGTTGGTATTGAAAGCCTTTGTTCTTTCTTCCCATGTGCATAACTTTACATTTGTCTATGTTAAATAGCATTTGCTAATCTTCAAACCATTTGTATAGTTTTATCCAATTCTTGTCTTAGTACTTCCGCATCTTCCACGTTGTTGACCTTTAAACACAGTTTCGTGTCGTCCGCAAATTTTGATATCTTTGACATTATGCCAGAGTCGATATCATAAATGTAGATAACAAATAGTAGAGGGCCCAGAACCGAACCTTGAGGAACTCCACTTGTGACGCTAATCCAATTTGAATTTTTGCCTTTGATCCGCACTTGTTGTCTTCTGTTGTTCAGCCAGTTAGTAATCCATTAAAGCAAATTTTCAGATATCTCAATGTCTGTAGTTATTTGACGAGTCGTTTATGTGCCACTTTATCAAATGCTTTTGCAAAGTCCAAATAAATTATGTCTACGGAGTTCTGGCAAACCAGTTTGTTGGTTATTTACAAGATAATAATGTTCTTTCGGGTTGCCAGTCCGGGTATAGAAAGTTTCACTCAGTTGAAACAGCACTTTTGCAGTTAGTTATGTGTCTGTGTGAGTCATCTGATACCAAATATATATCTTTTCTGGCTCTACTTGACATAAGTGCAGCATTGTCGATCATGCCGTTCTCGTTCGAAAGCTGCGGTTAAGTTATGGTGTGTCTGAAAGGGCCTTAGATTAGTTTAAATCCTACCTTAGTGAAAAATCCTAGTAGGTGTTTTTTAATGATATACTTTTTACCAAGGAATATCTGGAATACGGTGTACCTTAGTGGTTCGTTCTTGGTCCTATTTTGTTTCTTCTGTACACTGTTTCTTGAAATTTTTGACAGATACGGTTTTAAAGATTTTGTTTATGCGGATGATATCCAAATTGTAGCAAAAACTGTGCCGAAAATGTTTGGATCGGTTGCTGATCGACTCGCAAATAAGTTGCTTGTCTGACATAGATGTTTGGATGGCGCAAAATAGTATTCAGATGAACCAAACTAAAACACAAATTTTACCAATGAGCACCTGGCAACAGTTGTCCAAAATAACTGCTAAGTCCATTAAAATCAATGACAATGTTATAAATGTTTCTAGTTCGGCGGCTGTGCTAGGTTTTATTTTAGATTCCAAGCTGTCGATGAACCAGCAAATAAAGTCTTTGTTTAAATCTTGCACATTTCAGCTACGTTTGCTGAGAAAAACGAAAAAATGTTTAACCAAAGACACATTGAAATCTTTGGTTCATTCTTTTATTCATGGTTGTTTGGACTTTTGTAACAGTTTTATTACGGAATATCATAGCATGAGCTATCTATGTTGCAGTCAATTCAAAACAGGGCGGCTAAGGTTGTGGTTGGGGGTAATAGAGTTGATCATGTGAGCCCAATGCTGAAAGAATTGCATTGGTTGCGGGTTGATAAAAAAATTATTTTTAAATGATATGTATTAATCTTTGAAAATATGATCGATTTGATTACTAATGATAGAACAAAGTTGTCAAAACATGAATTGAGGTCTGTTGATTCAAATATATTGTGTGTGCCAAAGACAAACCTCAAAATTGTATCTCGAAGCATTGCTGTGGTCGGACCAGGATAGTGGAATAGCCTTCCAAACACTTTGCACAGTGTTGATTTTGCTTTAAGTCAATTCAAGAAACAGCTGTAAACCTATCTGTTCAGTTCAGCCTTAATAGCATTTATTATATTGAAGGGCCTGTGACGATTGCTTTTAACAAACGGGCGCTGTATAAATGCAATAAATTATATATATATATATATATATATTTATATATATATATATAGGTAATAGACCATAATTTTTACAATATTCTATAAATACTACCGAATGTTTGGCGTTAATATGTTTGTAGTTCGTTTTTTCGATTTTTCTCACTAAAGTTTTTTGGTGAACGTTTAGTTTATTAAAATTCAAAATAAACTTTTTTTTTTTAAATTCATGCCCGGTTTACAAATGATTTTATTGTGCTGTCTTTAAATTGTTCGGTGCATTCACTTTGTCCATTCAAACAAATTCCTGTATTCGTTTCTTTGACATAAACCGCGGTTTTGAATCGATGAAGAAAAGGAGACAAAAGAAGAAACCTGACACTTAATTCGCATCAAAGTTCAATTTTACAAAACCAAAGTTAATTTTTACAACGTCAAAGTTCATCTTGACAAAGTCAATATTTCCCTATATATACAGCAAGGAGCACTGATGATGATTCGTTCGGAATCGAAATATGGCCTTATTTGCAGCGTGAATTCGAAAAAAAAAGTTTATTTTGAATTTTAATAAACTAAACGTTCACCAAAAAACTTTAGTGAGGAAAAATCGAAAAAACGATCTACAAACATATTAACGCCAAACATTCGGTAGAATTTATAGAATATTGTTGAATATGTATATATATATGTATATCTACTGTGTCTCTACACTACTTTATATATATATATATATATAATATATATATATATATATATATATATATATATATATATATATATGTTGGTAATAGACCATAATTTTTACAATATTCTATAAATTCAACTGCAGAATATTGTAAATACTGTGTCTCTACTCTACTTTGTTGATTCCTCGGTTTGTTCAAAGTGAATACTTAACGCTCATTTAATTAGTTTTAAAATTTTCAACTTACTTTAAGACAACACTAACGTGTTTTCATTATCGAAAATTCGTCTGTTTCTAAATTTATTAGTTGGAAAGATTCCAATTGCCCGTTGTTGAATATTTATTATCGGATGTCTTTGTTCTATTAGTATTGATTTGGCTAGTCGTAAATTATAAATGGTTGTTATTGTAATGTAAGATTTCAACATTGTGGTCGTTTTCATGCCAATATATTCTTCGGAATTATGGTGCCCACACTCACCAACATTACATTTGAACAAATATATTAGTTGGCTATGATCCATTATTGATTCTGGCTTACTAGTGCAGTTGTTTTCCATCACAAGAGGTGACGTTATTTAGTTGCAGTAGTGTACTCGTAGTTTAATACTATCGTTTTCATATGTTGCTTGGACGTTATTTTTTATGATTCTTTTCATGATTTGTTCATCCTGTTCGAAAGCGGTTGACATGTGATTCTTATAATACATTACTATGTTTTTTTTTGTTTCTATTGTTGGTTACATTGTTTGTGTTGCAGATTTTTTGTTCTTTGCGTTCTATTATTTTCTGGATCATGAAATTTTCATTCCCATTATTAATGAGTAGTTCAGTGATTCTATTTAGTTCTGTTCTCCTGCTTCCTATATCAGAAGAGTGCCTATAGGCTCGGTTTACAATGGCAAAGATTGTGCTCTCTAGTAAAACCATTAAAAATAGGAAGTTTAACTAACGTCGAACGTGCTGTGATTTTCATCAATAATTGCATACACACACATTTATATATATTTAAATCGCTAACAAAGAAGAATATGATGCTATCGATGAAGAAAAGGAAACCAACCAAGATGGACCAGCCAATAAAGAAATCTGACACCTAATTTCCATCTAAATTCACTTTGACAAAGTCAATCTCCATCTAAATTCATTTTGACAAAGTCAATATTTCATAAACAGCAGAACATGTTTTTTCAATTTTTCTCCTTGCTGTATATATATGGAAATTGTCTACTCGCCAGGTAGATTTCACAAATTAATTAAGAAAAAATAAATAAATATAATAACGTGAAACTTTTAAATTACTAAAATTAGCTATAAAAAATAGCATCATAAAACAAATAAAGAAAGTTACTGATATCTACTTACATTCTTAAAATTTTTAAAAATCGTTTCAAATGTCCCTACTCAGTAAATAAAGATGGTATCGCAGTTTGCATGTAGGTCATAAAAAACAATAATATGCTATACCTAATGCGACTCACTATCATAAAACAACAAAAATAGCTTCATAAAAATTTTTATATTTACGATTCTACCAGTTTCACATAACAAACAAAATTATCTTGTTCATTAATGAATATTTTGAAATCAGCTTACTATAACATCAATTACAACTGAAATACAAAGTATCAATTGATAAAAAATTACATTAAAATAGAGTACGCCCATGTTCATAACTTGGTTGTCATTGTATTATCAGAAAATTTCTGAATATCGTCATTAGGATCGCAACTGACATCTTTTGCATCCTTATTATTATCACCTGCTTTTTCATTGTCAGAAAATTTCTTTTGCCAAGAACGTTTCATCATTAAGTAGACCAGCTCTATGACCTCCACTCCACTTGCAACAGTGACTCCCAACCAGAGGGACAACATCCCCCCCACTGCCCCGATCATCATATCGCTCGTGTACGCCGGCTTCTCAGATTGAAAAAACGGAAAATTTTGTTTCATTACAAACTTGATTTCGAGTAAAGATTTTTGCATTTGAGTCAAACTCGATAATGGTATTTCGGTCGTGTTGTTAATTAAAATGTCGTTGTAATAATGAAAATAGTTTATGTATCTTTGTTTAACTTTCGAATATTTCATACAACCACCACTGATAAAATACTTTTGGAAGATATCAAGCTGTATTGATGGTTGTGGCCAAGTTGCTGACGTTAGGAAAGATTGGTATATGATTTCGTTGCACAGCATGTTGCATATTGTAGCACATTTGTCGTTTTTTATTAAGATTGTTTCACCTATCAAAAAATAGATCAAAATATTTAATCGAATAGTAACTAACATTTAACTAACTTGTGTAGCGATATTCTTTAAACTGGGCAGTTACAAGAGAATTCGAAAAATTAATTACAAAACTGATAATGGAGTCGTTGAGCTTTTCATCATCTGAACTTAAGTTCATGTAGTAGCTAAAGTTTCCACACAGAGGAAATTTATTAATGTCCCTATCTTGTATGGACAACAAATGTGTTAAACATTTATACGAATTTATTACTTCTTTTTGTTGGCAATATTCTGTACACAAATCGTATGTATATTTTTTTGATGAATTAGTTGTTTTTCTGTCTTCAATGCAGTTCAATCTTAAAAAAAATTTTGATATTCAAAATTTATATGTATCATAAAAATTATTTTTTACTTGTTGTGAGGTGCTTTCAATCGTGTCCTTTCTTTTTGAACAATTTCCACGATATTTCCTGTCCCAGGAGCTACGTTGAACCCACGCTTGAGGTCAGGAGGGGTTCCAGGACTGTGCACACTCACCTGCACTCCTCTCGCTTGAGAGCTTGTTAGTGAGGATTTGTAAATTAATGGAATGACATTGGGTGGGCCAACATTCAGTAGCAAACTTATTCCTCTAATAATATTCGAGTTAGACGGTATCAACTTTTTTGTTTCAATGGTGTAGCAGGAGTAATAGTTCGGATTCCAACGCCGCGTAAAGTTAGCAATAGAACAAGAATCTCTCGTTTGAAACCAATTAGTACCAAAAAAACTACAATCAACAATAAAATTTGGACAGTCGTCAGTTTGGAAATGTTCTTTTTTCAAATTTAATAAATAACTTGACATGGAAGCCATTTCTTCAAATGCTTCATCGATAAGATTCATGGCTGATGGTTCCCCCAGCAAATCCCATTGATCTTTCATGATTTCAAAAAATCTTTTTTCAATAAAGTCTAATTTGTTTGAAAAATCGCTAAAACTTTGATCATCTAGTTTGAGCGTGGCAAATGGATCCAAATTGCATATTGTTATGTCTGGGAATATTATATTCTGACCAACCTATTATTATTATATTTTCTATTTAATCAACAGTTGAATATTTTTTTAATCATTTAATTATTCCAATTAAATTTATCAGTAACAATAATCTCAAAATAAACATTTAGGATTATCTGAATAATGTTGTTACATCTTGACTATAATTTGAGGTTGTGGATTAATCTTGAGAGCATTTTTAGAGAAAGTTGTTTATAAAACTCAATATAAAAGTTACAAAACGAATGTGTGATTGTTTGATCTTTCAGACTCAAAAATGCTGAACCAATTGGTTTGAAATTTTGATCGTAAATGTTTCGGAATATATAAAAAAACACTAGGCGTGGTTTAGCTCCGCTCTCAAATGAGTTGGAACGAACGGCTAATATTAATGATATCTAGAACGTGAATTATTTGTTAGCGTGAAACGCTCAAATTATAGTTATGATGTAACAAATTGACTATAAAGTCTAAACCGTTTTTTGGTTTCAAAAACTACAAATACAAATTTGTTGCTAATTGTGTTGCTGCAATTTCGATTTCTATTTTATGCTTTTTGATATATTGAGTATATATATGTAATTTATGCATGGCGGTTCTCGATGTTGATCGGAAACAGGACCAGAAGCTTTAATTTTTATACTAATGTATCGGTGTCGGTTACGAAAAGGATAAAAAGCGGTGTTGGTATCGAAAATTTTCCAATATTCTTGGAAGTTACCAATATATCTAAAGTTTTTGTCGCGGTTTTGTCGGCGGTATTTTGTCTGTGAACCATCACGAAAATATCAAGACTACAAAATATTATCGGGAAATCAAAAGTTATCAAGACATTGGAATATTTTAAAAAATAATTTTGTTTCGATTGTAGAGATCTGTACTGGAAATTTAAAGCCCAATTTTGTGATGGCAATTTTTGATATATCGGTTCAGGAACGGCCATATCTAAAGCTTGGTACGTAATTTGATCATGAAAGGAATATTAAAGTAAATTTTAAAATTTAATTACATTTTTCAACAAATTTTAATTATGAAAAAAGAAAATAATTTATATTTTACAATAAATGTAAAAACATCAGAATTGATTAAATTTATAAAAACAGGTTTAAAACATTTTTTAAACAAAAAATTTTTCATTTTAAACGTAAAAATGTAAATAATTTTATAAAAATAAAATTATACTTGAAAATATTAAAAATATTATTAAATACGATAAATATTAAATAAAATAATAAAATTATATAAGAGTAAAAAAGAATAAACATAAAACCCATATAAAAAATTAAAAGAAACAAAACTTTAAAAATCTCATGAAGTCTCCCATATCAAATGGGAGACTTGAGACGTGCGATTTTTGCTATAGCAATAGGCCCGTAGACCAGTTTTGGTCTAAATATCATATCTCGTAGACATGCCAGGCCACCTTTCAGAAACCATAATCGCGCAACATGTATGCTAGTGTGTATAAGGCTTATCGTTCATAAAATCTATCGACTGACTAAACGTCTTTAATTTGAGATATCGGTTAGTTCGATTTTTAGATGTCTATAAATTGTTTAAAATAAAATTAAAAGTCATAAATTTCATAAAAAAATAAAGTTAAATTTGAAATTTTTTAAATTAGAGCTCTGCCTACATTCTCTCCGTACTGAGTTGTAACAGGATATTCGTAATATTCGCTCAGCAATACATACAGTCTCTGGATCATATAGGATGTTGAGCCCATCAACAAAACGAGCCACAGCAGTTTGAGGAAAGCATCTTTTGATCTGGTAAACTTCGATATCACTCTTACAGATGTGTTCTCTCCGTAATTCAAGATTTCCGATTTGATCACCTGGTTTATTTTTCTCTCTTCCATAATATTTTATTCTGAAGGTACATATTTATTTAGTAGTTGATTTTAAAAGTTAGTAAAACATTCAAACTTACGTACATTTTTTGCCCTTTTTGCCCAAATCTCTCTGTTCTTTATAAACAATCTTGAAAAATCTTTCCTTTTTTTCAACAAAACAAAATTAGATTTAGCTTCATTATTTTAACCAACAAACATTTAAAAATTGTTAATGCGGTAAAAAATTAATTCCTTTTTCATAGTAAATATTTAAATATTTTTAGTTTAAAATTAATTAAATTTTCACAAAAAATTTAATAATTCAATATATATTTCCAAATAAAAATAATTGTCATTATTTATAAGATAGGCACACGTGTAGCAAAAAATTGAACAACATCAATATTCACCAGTATAATACGTGGGATAATTTTGCGACAATAGAGGGTAAGTTGGTGATGGTTCATGCATAAATACGTATGTCAATCACACACACAAAAACAAAACCTCTGTAGCGCGAGTTTGATTTTATCGTAAAATATAACACACACACACACACATTCACACACACACACAATTACACCAACACACACACACATTGTTTATAATATTTGTGAACAGGTAAAAAAAGCAAACACTTGCAATGTGTGCAGACCTAATTAAAAAAAAATTTCGCTTTTAATATTATACCAAATATTATTTAATAAAAGTATTAAATTATTTAATTAGAACTAAACTGAATACGTGCAGTAGATAGTTAAATGTGCATATGTAAATGTATGCGACGACCAAATTTAACAACAACCACATTTCAAACATTTAGTAGAAGCTACTATATATGCGTCGTATTGACGTTTTGTTTCAAGATGTTGGAGTCAAAAGATTTTTGCAACAACTTTCATCATCAAGACTTGTATCAACGTATTACATCGTTGTGTTGTACCAATATATTAAATAAAGAATTGTATTAATATATTCTAACAACGTTTTTTTTAAATAAGTTGCATTAACTTCATTGACTGCTATGCAAATAATGGCGGTAATCAAAAAACGTATTTTTTACCTTGAAGTTGTTTTTGATCAAGTGCAAAATTTGAAAAACTCTGCCCTTTTTTTGATGCCCTTCGACTTTCAATATAGTTTTTTGAAAGATAGGGCGCGGAAATAAATTGATTGTGAGTGATGTGGTCAGGCATGCATAATGCAGAACTTATTTCTGTTGTTTTATTAGGTTATAAAATAATCAAAATTATTAAATTTCAAATTTAACTCACAAGCTTGTTAAAACTTTTTAAAAAAATATAGCAACATTCCGAGTTAATTGGGATAAGGGAGTAAAATGGACATTGCCCATTAGTCAGATTGTGGAATAATTTTGTCGATCTAATCTCACAAAAAATATTCAAGCTGAAGTTATAAGTCTGCCCTGCGAAGTATCTCTTTAACATAGTGGACAACTCGGAGACCCTTAAAGAATTTATTTGCGTTGGTATGCCAACATTTTTATTGATTGCGACTAAATCTAAATTCTTGCTTACACTGAGTTAAAATTTTAAACTTAACGCTGGAAAAACAACTGGATAAGCAAACCGCTTGAAGGACAATTTGCTTATAATCCATCATAATGTACAATTTTTTTAATTTAAGTAAATGTAAACATAAAAAAATTGTTGGAACCATTTAAATAAAATTTCAGAATTTTTTAAGTAAACATAAAACTTAAAATTTGTATCTTATCAAAATAAAAGTATTTTTGCCACCACCAGCCTCATTGCCATCATCATCATTATCAACATCGTTACGTGCTTTTTATCGTTTTCGTCATTGTTCATGAACTGTTGATTTTCATGTTTCTGTATTTTTGAAAATTATTTTGAACAGTTACCAGAACATTTTAACATTTCCATCACCTGCACATTTCAATCAATGATCTCCACAATGACACGTGGGAACCAACAGAAACAAGCAGGCTCCTCGCCGACAATTCTGAATTTTATTTTTTTTTGTTCCACTAGTTTCTTAGAAACGTTCATCGAACCTCGTGATTAAACTTTTCAAGTTGTATTTTTTCCTTTTTGAAAACATTTCCTCCGATACTATAAAAGTTAATAATAATAAAATTATTATTTCTACTACTAACACCACCAATGCTACTACTACTACTACTAATAATAACACAAGCATTAAAACCATTAATACTACCACTATAAATACTACTACTTCTATTAATAATAATAAATTTTATAATAAAATTAAACTAACGTGGCAAATTTTTTCTGATGACGCCAACGACAGATGCTGTGAAGGCGAGCTGAAGAATATTTAATAAATTGTATATTTTCACGTTTATAATTTCTTTCATGCATGTTTTCAGTAATATTGTTGCAAATTGTTAGTCCTAATTACTAGTTTAATTCAACAACACTCAGTGGCGTTGCCAAAAATTTGTTATGAGAGGGGCTTAAAACTGCTAAAAAGAGAAATTTTGCTATTAAAGCCAGAAGTTTTTTTTAAATAACTTTATTTTACCGCTTTAAATAGTTTTCAATCAAAAATTTTACAAATCTATTCTTATTTATTTCACAATTTCATTAAATTCAGACTTATCCTTACAAAATTTCCTATTATGTGAGAAGCTTCAGTTCCACTGATTACAGTTCAAACAACATTTTTGAAATTTAAAAAGATGATTAATATATTTGGAAAATAAAAGGTTTGTTATATCGGTGGACAGTACACTTAAACGTTTTTAAAGATTTAAAAATTTTTTTTGATATTATTGACCTTGATGGATTAAATCGTTTGAGAGCACCTTTCCAAATCATCAAGATTGAAGACTAGGTGTAAAGTTCAAAGGCGCTCTGTCCTCAGATAATCTATCAAATGCGTTGCTAAAAAACATTTACAAAATTTGTCGGCGCTTCAATTTACAAAACAACAAGATGAAAAAGTTTAGTCTAGTGTTCTAAAATTTACAGTAAAATGGTTTGAATGAGAGTTTTATGTGTTGACCACACATGTAAAGACGGCTGCCGAATGTTTGACCAAAATTAGACTTTCCAATTTGGCTTCAATGGTCAAAGAGCCGAATTGTGAAATTAAAATTTAATTATTAACAAGAAACTTTTTCAAATCTATTTGAATTTAAGCAAAAGATTGAATATCATCTTAACAAAAAATCTTTGACAAGAGACATAGAAATAAAACGTTTTTTCAATAGCTTGCTTTTCATTCTATAAAATGTTTTTTTTTCAAAATTTTGAATATTTTTGATTTTCGGCCTTTGGTTTTTGTCCGTTTAGTTAATCAATTTTATGGCAATTCACCTTCAGCCAAATTTGCTATCTCTAATTTTATGTATCCAAGCTGAATATGAGGAAAAAGGAATGAAATTCCCTGATTTAATTTTACGGAGTGAAAAACATTTATTTTTTAACAATTTATTTCCAACAAAGGATCCATTCAATATTTTTATTATTCCTAAACTTGTTAACTACGTATGTCCGATTGTTTGTATAAGAGTCTTGAGATCAAATTTTTGACAACTTTCCATAGTCTGAATTAGTCAGTCGGTCGGTCGGTCAGTCAGTCAGTCAGTTAGTCAGTCAGCCAGCCAGCCAACTAACCAACCAACCAACCAACCAACCAACCAACAAACCATCCAACCAACCAAACTACCAACCAACCAACGAATGAACGAAGGAGCCAACGAACGAACGAACCAACCAACCAACCAACCAACCAACCAACCAACCAACCAACCAACCAACCAACCAACCAACCAACCAATCAACCAACCAATCAACCATTGTTTGTAATGCGCTATTTCCGCGATGTTTAACAGAGCTCCTCAGTGATCGATTAAGCTGAAACTTTTTATACCAAATTATTTTTGATGACAATGCATAAATGAACGAATTAACAAACTTTATAATCAAATTAACAAATAAATTAGAAAAATAATCTGACGTTGTTTTGAGAAATGAATTGAGAAATTAAGAGAAAAATATTAAAATTTTTGGCACATTATAGCACTATCTTGGGAGCTGCAGTGCCGTTAAAATCTTCAAAAAAAATTATTAAAATTCAAAATAATAAACTTATTTTCCGAATTCATGCTGCGTTCCCCAAAAAACTTTAGTGAGAAAAATCGTCAGCATGAATTCGAAAAATAAGTTTATTTTGAATTTTAATAAACTAAAAATTGAAGTTTGATTTTTGAAAAAAATTGAACTATCTGAAACTAATTATTTTGTTTTTTTTTTTAAATATTTAAATTTTATAAAAACATTTGTTACCCATCAACATATCAGCACATTGCGTTTGTAAATGAGCTTTAGTTAACTAACTAATTTCTTCATTTTCTTCAATGATGATAAATTTATTACAGGTTGGAATTAGCTACTGCCATTAAAAATACACTGACCCTTTTGAACTATTCACTTATACTACTACTCGAGTGATAAATTTCGCAAAGAATTGAAGAAAACATTGGATTGCTGGTTCCTTTGTTCAATTTCGAAGCACATTATTTATTATAAAAAAATATAAGTAAATAAAATATAAATATAAAGTAGAAATTATAAGTGTTTTGCTCAGATCAAACAAATGAGAAATATGGTTAAATTTTTTTAGGATTCTCAGATTTTTTAGAATTCTCAGAAAAAATCTCTGACATTTAACTATTATTGATAAGTGACAATACGGACTGTAAAAGCATTTTAGTAGCAACAAAAAAATATATCTTTCTTAATTTATTTAAAATTCCTAACGTTTTCGAGATTTTTAAAGATATATACGTTATGTGATCTGACCATAATAAATCAAAGCTAAAAATTTTATCGAGTGAACCCTATTAATTACCGCCAAAGAATATGTCAAAGTTTATTAGGTTTGTGATTATTTAAGAGCCAAATACTAAGGAAAATGTTTTATTAAAATTAATAAGCAATTTATTAACACGGCCCCAATCAAAAACAGCACCCAACTCATGATTAATCACTAAACAAGGACTTGCAAACAAAGTA